CACACACACACACACACACACACACACACACACACACACACACACACACACACAATATACCTTCTACAGCTCTCCCTTCCTCGAACCCCTTCCCCTTACCGTCTTCCTCAGAATAGAACGTATGGTCATTATCACTGTCTATAGATATAGCGATAATGACCATAAGATCTATTCCGAGGAAGACGGCAGTCGCCCTATTCTCTCCCTCACATCCGTGACATTAAAAAAAGAGGAAAACAAAGCAGGAGAAGAAGGAACACTGACCTTTGTTCTGAGGGCCTCGCCGTGCTTGACACTCGAACATGCGTCCAGAAAAACCTGATCAATGTACAAAAAAAGTCCATAGAGAATAGAGGAGTGTTCACAGCATCCGACAGAAGCGGAGCAGCCATTAGGATGAGGTGCAGGTGAAGCCGAAGGTCAACAGAGAGCCAAAAAGACCTTGCAAACTATCGATGAGCGACGAGCCTGGATTCCCTTTTTCTTTTTGCTTCCTTTCCCTTCGGTTTCTAAGATTTGAAATTTGCCCAGCACCTCCGTTAACGTTACCCACCCACTTTTTAATGGAAGTCAACAGAATAACACTGCTGCACAACTACGAAACAACGGAGCGCATACCGAAGCAAAGGCAAACAGATAAACAGCCGGTCCAAAGAAATGAAGAAGGAAGACCCACATGTGAACGTTAGTTAAACCTTAACCCCGTGAACGGTGAACGTACTGTAAATGAAGTTAACCCGGACTACGGGCATAATCACAATTTCCTTTTCCTGAATGTAATCGGGCCAAAATTATGGCCAGACTAAGTCAAGAAAGCTCTAGTATGTAAAGAGAAAACAAGAAGGAAGACCCAAATGAATGTGAACTTTAGTTAAACCTTAACCCTGTGAAAAGCACTGTAAATGTGGTTAGTGGGGGACTATGGGGATCCTCCAACTTTTCTTTCCTTGAATGTATTTGGGCCAAATTGATGGCGACATTCGGTCAAGAAAAAGTCCCTAGTATGAGCATGCATCTAATTCACTGGTTGTACACGTCTCCTCGTAACCATGTTTATCTCGGAAATTACATGTCAACCTCACTCACACGTGTCCTCTTGGGTTTTCCACGGGTGAGAATTAATTTCATATCGCAGAACTCCAGACCGGTCCCAACTCCCGACTCACCTCATGCCATCCATGACATGCTTTGAATGTGACTGCACAGATAGAAGGAGTCATAAGGCCGATGGGTTCAAACTTCACAGGCACCAATAACCCCAAAACGTCCACTGATTTATGCTGCTTTGGTGAAATGTACCAGCCAGTCCAGTCACTATTTTTTCGCAAAGAGGCGACGCACTGCGGTAGGCGCACGTGAGTGACCGCTGTAGATGCAGATCAGACTTAGTCAACGCAAAGGGCGCCAGCTGTTATTATGTCATATCTCACAAAGAAGATTAAAAAATGTAACCTTAAAAAAAAAAAAAAAAAAAAAAAAGAGAAAGTAACCTTTGTAGCCACAGCAAAGATTACTCATCATAGCCAAGCTATGGCAGCCGAACTACGATCTACCCTTCTGCTATCATCTACTATGGAAAAAGAAAGGCGTGTAGCAAAAGGGCGTCAGCGGTCCTCAACTGGTTTCCACCAGCGCCAATAACTGGCCACATCAGGGGAATGCTCCTTTTGGCCTAGCTGAGCTGGTGTACAGCCGAATCGGATGGTTAACTCGTTCAAACTGTAACACTTTCTGAGTGGTCGAGACTGCGCAAATCTACCCTGACAGAGAGAATACGGTAGTCAGCTCCGCAATGTGCTCCAGAGTCTGTGTTAGAGCGTGCTAGAGTCTTTCCACAGTCTTCAAGAGACTTTCAAAATCTGCTCGAGCCCGGGCTTGACTACGCTGTTGAGGCTCTGCTTGACTTCTGCTAGAACTATGCTTAAGCCCAGGCTTGCGGCTGTGCTAGGTTGCACTTGCGTCTGTAGTTGGGTCTGTACTTGGGTCTGCTAGAACTATGCTTAAGCCCAGGCTTGAGCCTGTGCTAGTCAAACCTGCGCTAGCCTGTACCTGAGTCTGTAGTTGGGTCTGCTAGAACTATGCTTAAGCCCAGGCTTGAGCCTGTGCTAGTCTGTAGTTGACTCTGTACGTGAGTCTGCACGTGAGTCTGTACGTGAGTCTGTACGTGAGTCTGTACTTGAGTCTGTACTTGAGTCTGTACTAGGGTCTGTACTAGGGTCTGTACTTGAGTCTGTACTAGGGTCTGTACTAGGGTCTGTACTTGAGTCTGTACTAGGGTCTGTACTAGGGTCTGTACTTGGGTCTGTACTACGGCGTGTACTTGAGTCTGTACTTGAGTCTGTGCTTGGGTCTGTACTTGTCTGTGCTCGAGTCTGTGCTTGAGTGCATGCTTGCCTCCACTCGACTCTGTGGTTTGCTTGAGTCTGTGCACGGGTCGGTTCTTGAGTCTGTGTTTGAGACTGTACTCTTGAGTCGGCTATACCATCTTCCCCTCAAATAGAACGTGCGGTCTTTATCGCTGTATCCAGACTGATGGTTGCACTAAATTCACACCTTTAATGACCGGACGTTCTATTCGGGAAAGTCGGTACCCTGTGATCAACTCCATGCTTGCTTTAGTACATTAGCGAGTCTGTGCTTGCTTGAGTACATGCTTGAGTCTATGACTCACGGCCTCACTCCACTGCCCAACTGTGTAAATGTATCTGGAGCTGGAGATGATCCCACTACATTCACGATCACTGACAATGTATCTGGTCCAGATCGCGGTCCGGAGCGCAGCAGAGTCTCTACTTGAGATTGTGCTCGAGTCCCCTTCAGGGTACCAGTTCACAAGGAGTAACACTGCAAACGAGGTACTCCCCTTCAGTCAGTCCGTAGAGTTTGTGAATGAATCTGTCCTTTGCTGGAGCCTATGCTGGATTGCGGGCATTGCTCCACTACTCTCCAAATGCGCAAAATGCGAAGGAATCTTCCGCTAGAACATGGAAAGATACACTGCCATATTTTTTGTCTTTTCTGCATGTGGAGAGTAGTGGAGCGAGGCCCTGTGTACTTGCTGGAATCTATGCTTGCTCGAGCAGGCTCCGCACGCAGGTAAAAAAAAACATATCACTGCTAATATTCTCCCCCGTCAGCCAAAATTACAACCATCGAAGTGAGACCAAGCTCACCCATCCATACCTTTCTGGGCCTTTTGCCTAAGGGCCACTCACCAAATTTGCAAAGTGAGAATGAATCTTCCCTTAGAAAAAGGAAAGATACACAGTCATAATTTTGTCTTTTGTACATCTGGCGAGTGATGGAGCGAGGCACTGAGTAAGATCAATCGTAGTA